GATCATGCAGGGTCTTCACAGGTGAGAAGAGAATATAACTGGCTGAGAAAAATATCTATAGCATAAAAGTGACTGTGCGATTAATTTCCACAGCTTTGTCACCACTACTATTCTTAATCCTATTATAAATTTTGCTTTGCACATTTATTATCTATATTATTGCAATAGATGGAAGAGCAACATGGAGAAACCAGGCAGGTATCAAGACAGGGACCTGACAGCAGCACCAATTATCAGCCCAAGGCTTCACAGGTAAGGAGAAATTATAACTGGCTAAGGAAATGTCTACAGAATAAGAGTGACTCTAAGATTAATTTTCACAGCTATTTCAGAGCTACTCTTATGAATACTCTAAAATGTTTTTTGTCTGTATTGCAATAGCAATACTACTGCATTATTTGTGTTTTTAAAGACAGCAGGTATTGGTCGTGCCATTTTTCTTTATCTTGATTAATTTTGCACATCTGTGCTGTCATATTTGATGATGTGTGCATGCAAAAAAATCAAAGCTACATTGCATCCCCCTTCTTAAAAATTAAAAATTCGACCACTGAGTATAGCATAGTATAATATAATACAGTATAATACAGTATAAGGATGGCTACCATGCCGTCAAAAAAACACACACAACGCAACAGGCAACTCTTCAAATATGCTATAGCGCATATCCGAAGACATATCGACATTGATATCAGCGGTGCATGAAAGAAAGCCCAACAACAGCAGGTAACTCTTCTCAGTATCTTAAGAAGTAAGTTACAAGCTAACTCACACGGTGCTCAAGCAAATACCAATGCAATGGAGGTCAGTTGTTGAAAACTAAAGATTTAAGTATTTGCTTAGTGTGCTTGAGCCCCAATGTGAGGTGCTGGGCCCACATTACACTGCACCACATTGCACATACTTTCCCATAGCTGAGGTGACGTTCCATGTCTCAATAACCAGTCTATTACGACAGAGATCAGTGCACCTACAGTAGATGAAGAAAGGAGGACACACAACTCCTATATTTTTAAAAAACACTATGGGTGCAAGTTGCAGAATGATTCCAAAAAAACTTGTGGGCAACAGCACTCACAAAAGACAAAAAAGTCAAAATGTATAATTTACTAGGGCAACACACGGTCGTCAAATGTTTGTTAGTTTGTTTGACTGTGTGTTGCCCTAGTAAATTATACATTTTGACTTTTTCACCTACAGTAGATTCCTGCCTTTACCTGCCGCCCGGCTGACACTGCTCCTGGGGTTGACTGGTAACAAAGCTGCCACCATATATGTCACCTGCCAGCAGATCAGCCAACAGGAAAATTCCACTGCAATAGCCATGTTTCAACCAGTAATGGGCAGTCATTGTGCGTATTTATAACACAATGTAGAATTCACATACTTTGATTTGGACCTGAATCGATCAACAACACAACTAAACAACAACATAAATTGGTTTTCAGTTAAAGAGAAGTGATTTGGGGGTTTAGTTTCTCTCTAACCTTTATCATGAAAATACTCACCAACATCAAGCTCAATGTGGAATATCTGACGTGGCTGAAGACGAGGAAAATCACAGGTGTAGATTCCACTGTCAGCCATCTTTGCATTTCTGATGGTGATGGAGGCGTCACCATGTTTCAGTTTATGTGGAAAATGAGAGACTCGACCTTGGAACTCCTCACTCTGACCTGGACGATTGCTGTTGTAATTGATGCCACCATAAAAGAACACCTCCTTCAGACCGTCTTTCTTCCATTCAAACATCTCTGACCCAATGTTCTTCTTTGTGCTGAGCAAACAGGGTAAAATGGCATTACTCCCTTCTTCCACTTTTGCGGGTGTTGGTCCTGGAAGATACAAACATGTATTAATTAGTATGTTTACACGCAGAGTAATTAAGACAGACATATGGAAGTTTGCTGTTGTAACAAAATATCAACTTTTGATATAACAGCAAACTCTACTTGTATTTTGGCCTTGTCTTACACATTGTCCTCAGAAAATCCTTTGCTCTGCTCTCCAGAATGCATATTTGCACGTTTTTACTTTTTTGACATGTATTTATTATTTTTACATTCAGTTTTAACTCTGAGATTTCTTTTTCTAACTCTTATTACTCACACAATAGTCTTTAGAGATTCATATTTGAGAACAGGGCTGTGCGATAATGAAAAAACAAATATCACAATATTGTTGAGCAAATATCTTGATATCAATATTGTAGGACTGACAACTGGTGCTTCAACCAAAATATTTACATAATGAGATTTTTGATAAATAATCATCAGTAATATGGACATAATGACAAAGTGGGTAAATGTAAATAATAGAACAGCAAGAACAGTCTGTAAGTTCAGAAAATGACATCACTTTACTGTAATGCAGCCTTTAAAACCAGGAGAGGACACATCAGTATTACATTAGTCTTGCTCACCAGACCTTTCTTTTTGGGTTAGGGGTTAGATTGGAGAAAAAAACGCCCCGGCTGCTTGTATTTCTTTCAACCAATCACAATCATTCTTGGCGGTGCCACAGCAACGGTGCGCTTGCAAAAATATTGCTGGGGGGAAACAGGTTTTGGTGTAACACGCCCACAAAAATATCGCCTACAGGACGCGAACCATGGCAGAAAAATGGCTACATCCCTGCAAGATGAAACACCACAAAAGTTAGTAAAGGACGTGTTGAAAACTGCTACACAACCGGAGGTGGTAGGGCGGGACTTCAGTGGGTGGCTCGTTCCGCCCAATGAGAGGCTGATCTATGCAGCGAACTTCCGCCCACTCAATTCAATTCAATTCAATTCAATTCAATTTTATTTATAAAGCCCAATATCACAAATCACAATTTGCCTCACAGGGCTTTACAGCATACGACATCCCTCTGTCCTTAAGACCCTCACAGCGGATAAGG